TCAACACGAAACTGAAGCTTTCTCTCCGAACGTCCTTTAAATAAGCTCCCTCGAAGGGAAACTCCACGAGGAACCGCCCCCTTCAGAGTCTGTTGGGGGGGGGGGGAGGAGGTGTAATGAGGGAGATGAGGGGGGGGGAGGAAGGAGGTTGGGGGGGGGTGGGGGGGGGAGAGGAGATGAGATGTTGTGGGTGGGTGGTTTGGGAGTTTAGAAGATAGAGTCATATATAAATAGAAAAAAAAGGAGAAGGGGGGGGAGGGAATTCGCGATAGGATGGCCAGTATAAAGATGGAATATCTCTTAAAGAGTGTGGGATGGAATTTGTAATAACAGCGTAGGTACACGTTCATGAGTTTCTTTTTTTTGTGTGTATGTTTTTTTGTTGTTTTTTTCTAGTGTTTGCCAGGGGGGCTGTTCCGAGCGAATTCCATAAGTTTATTCAAGCAACTGTTAAGCAACCAGCCCGCAGCGTGTATATTTTAACATGCTTTGATGGCGTCGAAACAAACACAGGCGACAAAAACGTTAAGAAAGCGTATCTGTTTCGGGTAAGCGAGTCGTTTAGGGATTTTAAGCACTGATAGATGGTTTTCTGGGCTCTGTCGGTACTATACGACGTCGAAAAAAAAATCTCGGATAGATGCTCTCTCCATATTTATTCTCGCACTGTTAACTCTCGCGTTCTTGTGGGAGAAAAACCGTAAGGACGTTTTGACATCAGGTGAAGTGATTTTTTTTTTTCGTTTTATTTTCCTTCTTCTTCTTCTTTCTCTTCTTCCTTTCTTTTTTTCTTGGAATGGGGAAAGGGGAAATTTATAACCGAAACGTTCTAGAAATTTGAGAATTTGAATTCCCGTGACAGGCAGAGATATGAAATACGAAAGCGGACTTTAGAAAGTAAAAGTTTTACAATATAAAGTGTAAACAGATTTGAGAAACTCAGTGAGAATATGTAAACAACATAGCCATTCTTCACCTTCATGTTATGTTTGTGTAAAGTGGAATTGAGTTTCTCATCTTCTCGGGGGCACAAAATGTATATATTAGCACTAATTTATGACGTACATAATTATTCCATTGTTAAAAAGGGTATATACAATATCTTCAAATATCCCATACATCCCGTGTCATTCTGTATTATCAAAATCAAAATACGCTATTTCCTTTTTAGCCATACAGTACCCCCCACATTAATGTCGAAAAATTGATTGTGTTTTTTTTTATACAGTTGAATCAGTAACCATGCCGCGGTACAGCGAAGTGAAATTAATCTTGCTATATCCATTTCAGAATAGTAATATTGTTTTATGGTCTCCTTGTTTGCGCCTGAAAACTGACTGCGTTTCACCAGTACCTGTGTATTGAAACCATCAAAGTGCATGCAATGTAATGAATAAAAATATTTATAAGTAATTCAAATATATTTAGCATCTCTACAGCCATTCAAATATAAATTTTTCTTGTCTCATTTCATTGATTCGTACATACAGACATTTTTTAAAGTATCGATTTTTTTTTCTTTTTTTTTGAGGGGGGGAGGGATTGGTTTTGGATTATTTACTTCTGAAGAATCAAGAGAGAAAAGGAACTGTTTTCCCAGTGATAAAAATGTTATCTTAATTACCGCTTAAACCCCACTTCCTCTATTCTCCCATGACAACACGTTATCAAAGCCACTTTTACCAAGACTTTGATGACATGACAACAACCTTCCAACCTTCCAACCTTCCAACATTACTTCCCACAACAAAACCATTGACAAACCAGGATGTGTATTTTTGCGATCGAAAAGTTGACAAGATTGTAAGTTAGGAAGGATTTTCTATCACTCTTTTGATAAAGTTCGAGATAACGATTTCTTGTCCCATTCTTGAGTGTAACTTTGAGCTCTGGTTCTCATAAGTTGTCAACACTTTTTTTTATAGAACTTTTTTTTTCCGTGATGTTTTTTTCTCTCTTTCTGTGTCGTTGGCAAACTCGGAAACTGTAACAATGTAATAACGATAGATAGGTTTTATCAGTGAACTTTTTTGTATATTTTGCCGTTATTCTGGAGAAATGTTTATATAGTTTTTATCAATTACCTGAACACCATCTTTCTATCTATCTATCTATCTATCTATCTATCTATCTATCTATCTATCTATCTATCTATCTATCTATCTATCTATCTATCTATCTATCTATCTATCTATCTATCTATCTATCTATCTATCTATCTATCTATCTATCTATCTATCTATCTATCTATCTATCTATCTATCTATCTATCTATCTATCTATCTATCTATCTATCTATCTATCTATCTATCTATCTATCTATCTATCTATCTATCTATCTATCTATCTATCTATCTATCTATCTATCTATCTATCTATCTATCTATCTATCTATCTATCTATCTATCTATCTATCTATCTATCTATCTATCTATCTATCTATCTATCTATCTATCTATCTATCTATCTATCTATCTATCTATCTATCTATCTATCTATCTATCTATCTATCTATCTATCTATCTATCTATCTATCTATCTATCTATCTATCTATCTATCTATCTATCTATCTATCTATCTATCTATCTATCTATCTATCTATCTATCTATCTATCTATCTATCTATCTATCTATCTATCTATCTATCTATCTATCTATCTATCTATCTATCTATCTATCTATCTATCTATCTATCTATCTATCTATCTATCTATCTATCTATCTATCTATCTATCTATCTATCTATCTATCTATCTATCTATCTATCTATCTATCTATCTATCTATCTATCTATCTATCTATCTATCTATCTATCTATCTATCTATCTATCTATCTATCTATCTATCTATCTATCTATCTATCTATCTATCTATCTATCTATCTATCTATCTATCTATCTATCTATCTATCTATCTATCTATCTATCTATCTATCTATCTATCTATCTATCTATCTATCTATCTATCTATCTATCTATCTATCTATCTATCTATCTATCTATCTATCTATCTATCTATCTATCTATCTATCTATCTATCTATCTATCTATCTATCTATCTATCTATCTATCTATCTATCTATCTATCTATCTATCTATCTATCTATCTATCTATCTATCTATCTATCTATCTATCTATCTATCTATCTATCTATCTATCTATCTATCTATCTATCTATCTATCTATCTATCTATCTATCTATCTATCTATCTATCTATCTATCTATCTATCTATCTATCTATCTATCTATCTATCTATCTATCTATCTATCTATCTATCTATCTATCTATCTATCTATCTATCTATCTATCTATCTATCTATCTATCTATCTATCTATCTATCTATCTATCTATCTATCTATCTATCTATCTATCTATCTATCTATCTATCTATCTATCTATCTATCTATCTATCTATCTATCTATCTATCTATCTATCTATCTATCTATCTATCTATCTATCTATCTATCTATCTATCTATCTATCTATCTATCTATCTATCTATCTATCTATCTATCTATCTATCTATCTATCTATCTATCTATCTATCTATCTATCTATCTATCTATCTATCTATCTATCTATCTATCTATCTATCTATCTATCTATCTATCTATCTATCTATCTATCTATCTATCTATCTATCTATCTATCTATCTATCTATCTATCTATCTATCTATCTATCTATCTATCTATCTATCTATCTATCTATCTATCTATCTATCTATCTATCTATCTATCTATCTATCTATCTATCTATCTATCTATCTATCTATCTATCTATCTATCTATCTATCTATCTATCTATCTATCTATCTATCTATCTATCTATCTATCTATCTATCTATCTATCTATCTATCTATCTATCTATCTATCTATCTATCTATCTATCTATCTATCTATCTATCTATCTATCTATCTATCTATCTATCTATCTATCTATCTATCTATCTATCTATCTATCTATCTATCTATCTATCTATCTATCTATCTATCTATCTATCTATCTATCTATCTATCTATCTATCTATCTATCTATCTATCTATCTATCTATCTATCTATCTATCTATCTATCTATCTATCTATCTATCTATCTATCTATCTATCTATCTATCTATCTATCTATCTATCTATCTATCTATCTATCTATCTATCTATCTATCTATCTATCTATCTATCTATCTATCTATCTATCTATCTATCTATCTATCTATCTATCTATCTATCTATCTATCTATCTATCTATCTATCTATCTATCTATCTATCTATCTATCTATCTATCTATCTATCTATCTATCTATCTATCTATCTATCTATCTATCTATCTATCTATCTATCTATCTATCTATCTATCTATCTATCTATCTATCTATCTATCTATCTATCTATCTATCTATCTATCTATATATATATATATATATATATATATATATATATATATATATATATATATATATATATGCCAGTCCCTCCTTTCTCCTTCGCCTCCTCCTCCTCGATAGATAGATAGATAGATAGATAGATAGATAGATAGATAGATAGACAGAGAGATACAGATAGATAGAGAGATAGACAGAGAGATACAGATAGATAGATAGACAGAGAGATACAGATAGATAGATAGATAGAGAGAGAGATACAGATAGATAGATAGATAGATAAATAGATAGGTAGATGGACAGATAGATAGATAGATTGATAGACGGAGAGATACAGATAGATAGATAGATAGATAGACAGAGAGATACAGATAGATAGAGAGATAGACAGAGAGATACAGATAGATAGAGAGATAGACAGAGAGATACAGATAGATAGATAGATAGACAGAGAGATACAGATAGATAGATAGACAAATAACAGATAAACAGATATATATATATCCGCATACACACACACCATCAAATAAATACATATTATCATATGACAAATAACCCCAAACCATTATTTTTTTTCACGCTAGTTCTCCTTTTGAACAATGAGATACCCAGTCT